TAATAATGACTCTCTTGGTGGTCTTGGAAGGTGAGGCTCGACCATTGTCACCGAGTTTATTGAGTGACGGTGTGAGACAATTTGGTTCGCTAAAAAGAAAGCCATGTGATGATCAACATTATCATCTTGATAATGTTGATGCGAAAAAAGTCACATCTAGACAAAATAAAGAGACACAGGTATCGCTTTCACACGCAACATTTTCGATTTCGATGTGAGTATAATTGTGACGTATCACAATTACCCGATTTTGAATTTTGAAAACGGGGAACCAACTGACCACCGAAACAAAGCGTTTGCTCAACTGATCGCTTACGAATTAGATCTTGTTCCAATGAAAAAAAGGTCTGTAACATATGTTAATATAATAAATCTTGTGAGGAAAGTACCTCACCAATAGGATGTGGATGACATAAGTTTACCCAACTAAGAAGACTCGGAATAATGTTTGTGGCATAGGTACGCTGTGAGTCTACATGTTGTTTGATGATTGTTGATGTTATTAAATAAGTATTATGAACACTTTCCTAGTTGTAGTTTTGTTTAAGTACCTACTCTCACAAGTATGCGAAACAATGATTACCAATAGGAACGGTTTTAACAATCCAAGATGTTGGATTTTATTAATAAGCCGTTTTCGTTTTAATTTTCTGGCTTCTCTTTTTTTCCTTTTTACGCTAGAGATGATGAAGAATATATAAAAAAAACTAGCGAATCATATCAACGCAGCCAAATGTTTAACTATCAACTATGAAATGAAGATTGCTTGTAGTATGAACCTATTACTGTTCTCTAATTGTATAAAATAAAATACCTAGCTAAAATAAATAATATATAGATATTTAATCCAAATGTTTTCAATGTTGATAACCTCTGGAAGACGCCGTTCGGCGTTATCCGCGCCTGAGGATAGTTTTATTTTTCTAAAATCATTATTTACAGAAACGGAAACTATAATGATCTTGTATGTATGTAAAACATGCACATATAAAAAGTATATACCTTTAGAATAGAAATTGGCCAAGTTATGGCTCAAATATAATTTACGCCGATCGGTGTCATCCTAAGAATGATAATTTTAATTACGCCGTTGTGCGTGCACCGTAACGAATGGGTTAAGTTTGTATCAAAATTACATGTTCCCTCTGTATTACATCATAATAACCTTATTCATATACACATCTAAAAAAAAATATTTAATGCATAGAAGGTTTAAAGCTGAATAAAAAAATCATTAAACTCTTTTATTACCTTTCTCCTCAATAATTACAATTCACTCACCAATCTTTGATAATCTGGATCTGGCAATCTTTTCATTAAGTCTGAAAAACTAGAAGTTCGGTTAGGTCTCTCTGATTCATTGTACACCTTTTCATCATCATAGCAATAATTTTTCTTTATCTTACTTTACTCTGTAAGGTCCAAAAAATTTGGGCTTCATCTTTAAGCCACTAAGCACTTTTTAGGTTCTCTACACTCACCATATGAAACACAGCAGCGTTAAGCTGCTATTTTACGCTGGTATTCTGTAAGAGTATGGTCCTTCCATGGTTGAGTTAACCCATTCGTGCTACAACTATAGCAGTAATATAGTTGCAGCATTGCTCTATCATGTAAAAATTGCCTTTTAAAACAGTAAACTTGTTTCTTGAAAGGTCCCTAAGTTGTATCGGTCCGGAAATAACAGCTGTGGATACTTGTAAACTTGTAAGCAAAGCTCCATCTAGGAAGATCTAAATAATATGCTGGTAGACAGTATTTAATTTTTCTTGTTACTGCTGTCATAATTTATTTGCTTTGTTGAGAAAGCAAAAAATGTGAAAAAAAGTATATTGCTACCTTGTAGCATTGAAATTAAATTTATCATAACAGTTCATCTACCCTCAAATTTGTAAGTTTTACAAAAAGTACATTAGAGACAAGAAGATTTTTCGCAAACTAAGTGTTTTTGCACAAAACAATAGCTAATAGCTCTTAAACAACAATTTAATTATTATGTGACTATTTGAAACCTGTAGCAGAAGAAACCTATTGTCACAACAGGTTGTAAAAAAGAAATGTAAAGGATTACTTCATTGAGCTAAACCAATTATAAAGCTCAAAGCTAAGAGCACATTGTATTCAACCAAAAAATTCTGTTTAACAGCTTGTAAAGTTGGAACTTTAATTCTTGGATAAATTATACATTAGCACCTTAGTAGTGCATTAAGGATGCACAAATAGATAGACCGTAGTCCCCGTTGAGCATAATGTTTGGCAGCTGCAACAGAATTCTGAACATGCTTGCCAAACAATGTGACTAGCATATGTTGAGTCACTGGAATGGTGTATTAAATAGTTACAGCCAGCCAGTTACAGTTTAATAGTTATATGTTTTACTGCTGGGCACAGGCCTCCTGAAGTGTCTGCCGCACTGTCCCAATATGTGTTGGTGGACTTCACACGTCTGAAATATTTTTAATAATTTTTTTATTTCGGACAGTTTCCTCACAATGTTTTCCTTCACTGCGAAGCACGTGGTAAATTAATAACAATTTCATTAGTGCCGGTGGGTATTGAACTCGAGTTGCTTGAGTACTGTGAAAATTACAGCAATCGCTAACTATTTGAGCTTAAATAGTGTTTATACATATTTAAGACATTAACGTTAGTATTTAAAGTGTGCAATGTATTATTAACAACATATATAGATCTGGGTCTGAAACAAAAGTGTTGTTATTATTATTATTATCATTTGTTTTTGACTCTTAAGTGGGGTCAACTAGTGTGTAATTTGAACAGTTGCATTAAAAACATTTTCACCTATTTTTCCACAATTAAAAGTGGAATCTTCTTCACATTCATATGGGACCACCTCTGAAGCATCCTATTTAATAAAAAAAGAATAAAATTGATCCATAATTGGAGATTGCTTAATTTTTAACAAAAAGTAAAAACTCTCCAAATGTATATGGGACTACCCTTGAATAATATAATTGAATAATAAAAAAATCATCAAAATTCGTTTACAATCTGTGAAGATATCACATAACATACAGCTATATTACAGTATTAATAGGTCCGCTCGACCGGGGTAGGAGCATGTTATAGTTAATTGTTTCCTTAAAACCTTTTTTTATTAATCTATAACCTCTTGTCCCTGTTCATTATGTCTGTATGTAAGCACTTGTCTGTAATTTTACAATTAAGATGCTGGTATATATGAGTCAATGGTATGCTACATTTTAATTTGACTAATTACTGTGCCACCTAAATTGCATTCATCAAGGCAATTGTTGTTAATTCAGTTCTACGGTACAGTTGTTATTTCTCAATTGTGAAACTTTGCATTTGATCGTGTTTAGTGCTAAATATTATGAAAAGATGTGAATGTAGTTAACCAATAATAGTTAATAATCAGTTATTTTTATGCCCCGATGAAAACAGAGAGGTGTTGTGTCTATCTGTGGCAACAAAGCTCCGGAACGAATGGACCGATTTTGGTTAAGTTTTTTCCTTTGAAAGGTGTCTTCATTGAGAGTGTTCTTAGCTATTTTTCAAGAAAAACTGTTCAGCCGTTTGAGGATCATCAGCTCTTTTTGTTTTGGGGTTTTTTAAATATTTTAATTTAAGTTATAAGTGATTATACCGACATACTATATGAACATTAAATATTTTGGTAGTTGGGAACAGCAATAATTTCAAATCAGGATAATAAATATTATTAAAAAATTAACTACACGTAATAACCCAAAGAAGTACTTGCTTGGCCAAAGAGTGGTTGAAACATGGAACAAGCTGCCATCAGAACTGATATCTGCATAAACCATAAACCAATTTTAGAAAAGATTGGATAAACAACTGAAATAGAACAATTACACATTTGAAACGAGGATACAGGCATGTCAGTTGTTTCAACTGCCGGCCTGTTAAATAAAAACAAATAATATATAACCTGTTTTCATCCTAGTGGTAAAGTTTTTGCATCATAGGCAATTTCGGTTACTACTACAACCTTATGTTTTCTTTGCAATAACTTTGGTTCTAAATTTCTATTAATTTTCAGTCAGCGTTAAGCTAAATCGCAAACAATTCTTTTTACTTGATAAAAAAGAAGTGGTTCTCAATTCAACTGTGCGGTCTTTTTTCTTTGTATGTATGTTACTTGATATCTTTGCCAATTGTAAACTGATTTTAATGATTATTTTTTATAGGCCAGTTAAATTCGAAGGAAAACTCCTATCCCTAAGGGTGGAAAATAGGGGATGGAGTTTTTATCGTAACTATTGAGACAACATTACCGAGAGTTTCAACATCATCACCTAGCCAAGTTCACACCTTGAAGTTGTTGGCAACATCAAAGGACTGTTGAACTTCTTCAAGGAGATTTCATGGCTTGAATAATCACGATATTCCTGCCCACATATAAAATACGCACTTAGACGTGCTTTTACGGAAAATAACTTGTTGTAAACTAAACTAAACTAAATTTAGAAGACATAAACCTTAGTCCATCAAAGGCATCAAAAACATCAAACTTTCAATAAAAAATGCCAGAAACCGGTGTTAAGACATAGTGTGTAGAAAAAAAAAGTAGTATGGACTTTGTAAGCTATGTAGAAATTGTTTTATTCTCTAAAGTTCTTTAAAGTCTTTTCTTTTAAGAAAATGGATGAATGATTACATCCCTTGAGCAATTCCTCCAATTTTGGATGAAGCCTAGCTATAGTATTAAGTTGATGAAATTTTTAGAAGTAATATATTAACTATACAATTAAAAATATGCTATTTTTACTTGGAGAGAAACAAATCAGGAGATGGGCATCAGCGTCTTCCTAATAAAGACAACATAAAAACTGCACCTGCCAACCTGCTTGCCAAGCGTGACAACTATGGCTAATATTCCCTCTTTGAGGACCTATGTCTATGACCTATGACTTTAATAGGCTGTAACGGTAATGTTATTTTTTGTTGCAGATGGTAGTTCGCTGGACGAACCACTCATAGTTCAAACTAGCATCATGGGACAGCAGACATCACGAAAGAGTGAGTACATGTGCATTATTACGGACGAGTGCGTGAGGACAAGGGTTGCTAAGTTAATTCCTGAAACTAGGTCTAAAACTAGGTTTGAGGTCTAAAGAGAGGGACAAATGGTAATCCTCGAATCTGGCAACTTGTTCTATCACCGGGAGGACGAATATCTTTCCCAAGGTGGTGTTGGTTTTATCATACACAAGTCTCGTTAACAAGGATTGTGTCGACAAGGGTTGCGTATCTTATACTCAGAGTTACTGAACGGTATTCGTTGAAGTTAATAATATAGGCTTACGCACCACCCTCAAACTAATTAGGATGTGGAGAAAATGTATGATGATATCTCTAGAACCATACATTCCCCTAAAACCCACTATAAGTGTTACTGTAAGTGGATGATGTACACTGTAAGACCAGAGACATCTACATACCATCAATCTTCAATTAGGAATCAAAACGCAGATGCGTTGTCGCTCCTGGGCACTCAAATTAACGAAGAATGCATAATTTCCAGTTGAATGGGTCTCCAGTTCCCTGTTGGTGACAAACAAGCACACAGTCCACCTGATGGTAACTGGATGCTGTGGCCCATAGACATCTACATCTATCCCCGATTAAGAATCAAAATGCAATTGCGTTGTCAACAATGAGGACTAAGATGCCTCATTTACAGTTAAAATGGTCTCCGGTTCTCTACGCTCACCAAACAATACACAACATCATTGAGCTGCTATTTTACGCTGGTATTCTGTGATAGCTTGGTCCTTCCCTAAGTAAACCGACTCGTTAATGCTTTTTTTTTAATTTACTGATATTTTTCAGGTGGAGAGTGCACTTGTGGGTGTGGAGCGTGGGAGAGGCGCCGGTACACAGAATCGCCGAGCAGTGTACACCGGTACGTCAGCGCAGTCACCGACAGGTATGTACCGAATGTGTACCATAGCTTAAGGTGCTAGGACGAAGAAGTTTTTAACATCTTTGAAGTAATGCAGGAAGTCGATAGATACAGGTGGATTCCCATCTCTGGGCAGGGGCTCCCCAGTGCCAGCTCCTTCCACTTGACCGTATCCAGCGCAGAGCGGCTCGAATTGTCGGCGACCGAGTTCTTTCCGATCAACTTGACTCACTGGCACTGCGTAGAGATGTTGCATCTCTTTGCGTATTTTATCGCATCTATCACGTGGAGGATGTGTTCTGAGGAATTGTTCGGACTAATTCCAGCAGCTAAATTTCACTATCGCACATCGTAGTTCGTAGTGTTCATTAAACATCGATTGTTGAAGTATTCGATAGTAATCGATAATTTCTTATAAGACCATCGATATATCGATAGACTATCGATTGTCTTTGAGCATGTATCATAATTAAAAATTACTTTTTTTTGTTTGCTCGTCTTTGAGAAATTCGCAATTTATCATTGGCTAGTGTAGAAGTATGAAGCAAAGTCACAATAGATTTCTATTAAAATAATTCCTAAAAGAACTTCTAGATTTTTTTGGTTGCACTTCATCTTGAACTTGATGTTCAGACGGTGATCTCTCTTCCGAATCTAACCTATCTATTTTATCGGCATACTTTCTTTTCAAGTGATCTCTTAGATTGGTCTTATTTCCTAAATGTTTATATTCCTGATTATAAAAGTTATACTTTACAAACGGACTATTACTGTCCACTATCTAGAAATAACTTCACATTAATGATTGATTTTTAGGATAAATTTTCGGTTCATTATAAAGTCAAATACAAGACAAATCAGTAAATTATAAAACGCAAGATCAACCACCCGTTCTGGCACTCACACAAATAGCGACTTACATCAGTGTCACACATATTAATTAGCTATTCACACACAGTTTATTTACAGTGATTTCTCTGACCTTAGACTAAAGGGAGACATCTACTAAAGACAAAAATTACGATAAGGATGGCAATCGATAGTTTAACCTGACTATCGATAGAATCGATAGTGCAAACATTATCGATTAATCGATAATCTATCGATGTTTAAGGAACACTAGCACATCGCGACCAAACTCGCGATACCATCCATACCATCTGGATAATTGGGCGGTCCACCACTGTGCGATTTAGAAGAAGTTTTCTCCCTCGCACAACTTCCTTCTGGAATCGTTTACTACCAGCGATTTTTCCGGACCGATACGACTTAGGGACCATCAAGAAAAGAGCCTACTCCTTTTTAAAAGGCCGGCAACGCATCTGCAATTCCCCTGGTGTTGCAGTTGTTCATGGGCGGCGGTAGTCACTTAAGAAAAAAAAAGGTGGCTAGGGATGGGTAAACGAAGAAAATATATCTAATCGATATTTTTAATGAGTATCGATATATATAGCGCGATAAATATCGATATATCTACATTATTTGCATGATGTAAGGATAAGGCTCAAAATTTAATATTACTGACGGTTGGACGACGAAAAAAAAACGACTACCACACATAAATGCTTTTGTAGCTATTTTTGTTGTTGCATGTTTTGCCCATTAATACAACATTTTAAAATATATTGAAATTGATAATTCGATATACTTAAATAAATATCGATGATATGTCGTTATTTTTATGAGATAATATCGATATATCGATATTTTTTGCCTAAGCCTTATACAGGTGGCTCTGGACGAAGACGACTGACAACGAAATGTGCGAAATCTATAGATACAGATGGCCCGGGATCGTTGTTTGTGGAAATCCTTGAAAGGATTCCTTGGGGAGGCCTATGTTCAGCTGTGGACCTGTGAAGGGCTGTAAAAATTATGATGATGATGATGACGAGTTTTATTATAACTTTTTTTGCTTTCAGATGGAGTGCCAGAGAGTGTGCATGTAGGCGTAGACGTTGGCGACGTCCAGCCTGCGTTTGTACTGCATACCGACGCGTCAGTGACGATAGGTGGGTCTATATACAATGGCCTTAGGTCAGGCACACCATGTGGTGTCAGAGATAAGCAAATATAGAAAAAAAGAAACAAATAAATAAAATTGAAGTGTTTGTTTGTAATGTTAAAATAACATCTTTTTTACTAAATGCGTATCAAATTCATTTATTTGCATAATACAAGTATAAAGGTTGTTACAAAAGATTAGAATATGTACACTGTATTCTTACCTTATGTGGTGTGCAAATACAATATTGGGCTACGCATTACTAATTAAATAATGGTGCCTTTATATCAAAAGAAAAATATGAAGAAAAAAAATTTCAATAGTTGAGTAAAGTCCATAGGGCTAATTGCTGTCGTACTAAATATCTTGAAGTTATATAAAGTGAAAATATAATATTTTTAATAACACGTATGTACTCGTACAATCAAATTTAAAATATATGAAACGGTACAGTACTTATAACAAAAAAAAAATCACCTGGAAACCTTTTATTTTATATTTCAGACTGGCAGCCGTCCTCACACTGGGAGCGAGGGATCTGAGAAGAGAATTAGATGCCATTGTCATAAACACAGGTTGGTAGGCATATTGAAATAAGAGTTAATTAAATAATAATTAATGACCGTGTAGAGGCAGTGTAAGAATATCCATTACTCCATATCATTCCGTGGGTTTCGTAAGAGCCGACAGAGGGAAACAAAACATCTTCATGATTGACATCATTATCATTACAGCCCTTCACAATTCCACTGCTGAACATAGGCCTCTCCCAAGGAATGCCATAAAGCACGGTCCTGAGCCATCTGCATCCATCGACTTCCTGCTCTAAACTTTGCCTACTGGTACAAGGCTGCCACTTTAGAACCCATCAGCCAAGTGTTCATCGAGCTATATGGCCGGCCCATTGCAACTTCAGCTTACTAATCCGTTGGGCTAAGTTGGTTAATCTCGTTTTACGGCGGATATCCTCATTTCTAAGTTTATTTTTCACAAAGAAACCCTGAGCATAGCCCTCTCCATAGCTCGCTGAGTGACCTTGAGGTTCCTCATACGGCCAGCAGTGAAGGTGCACGTCTCGGATCCATAGGCACTAGCAATACGCACTGGTTGTACGATCTTGTTTTTAGCTCTTGAGGTATATGTGACGAGATGTGTCATTATCTCTCAAATGCTGCCCAGACGAGTTGAATTGATTTTGAACCAACTTTCAAAAAGTGTTATTTATTTATCATCACCATATGATGATGATTTCAAATTAATTAACCAATCACCATGAAAATTTACTCCACTATCACAAGATAATTATTTGTTATAGAAAAACACAAAAGAATACCGAGTCATGCTTTACAACAAAAAATCCCAGAAAATATACAAAATTTGACCTGCTCAAAGTTCAAAAACTTTATGAAACTAAGTTTGTATAAAAAGGGTTATTATAATATTAAGGAATTTATGGATGATAATAACCCTTGGGAATGAGGTGATCGCTACCAAGCTATTTCTAATTTGTTTTGTGTTGTTAATTGTGTAACAAACATGATTGTAAGCTGTTTTTTTTGTCCCGCTGAGATTCTTGCTGGTTCTTCCCAGGACAGAGGTTTTTTCCAAACCAGTGGTAATTAAACACTGACTTTCAATAAGTATTATATATAATAAAATAGCCTTTATAATATTCTGTCTTGTTTTTTTAGTCTAATTTTATTATATTCTGTTCCCCGTAACTACGCCCGCGTGTTATTTGGGGTTTTAATTTTTATCCGCGGAACCCTAATTCTTTTTCTTAAATAAAAGTAGCCTTAGTAACTCCTTATGACGTGAGCTATCTGCCAGTGAAAGTCCCATGAAATTGGTCCAGGCGTTTTTAGAAAAGCTATTTTTTTTAGAAAAGTGTTGTTTTTAGACTTTTTCAGGCAATTTTTTAAATTTTCTCTCCGTAAGAACCATCTTCGTACTTCAAGGAATATTATAAAATAATAATTAGCGAAATCGGTTCAGCTGCTCTCTAGATTTGCGCTAGCAACACATTCAGCGATTCATTTTTATACTATAGATAAAACAAAATTCTCTTTCTGTTTCAATAATTATGCGTTATAATATAATTTTGATTATTTTTTAAATTCACAGATAGTGAGTCGAGCAGGGAGATTGGGGAACAAACCGCAGAAGTGTACGTCCTTTCCGTCGCTCCTAGAAAGTGAGTCATTATATAATTACTTCACATGATGTATTTTCTATACATATTTGAAACAGGATGTTTGTGTATATGAAATTGTTTAACTCAAAATCTATTTGATCGATCATCATGAAAATTGGTATATATATTTATATTTCAATTGAGAAAGTTTTTTATAAACTAAAAAAAAAAATTACAAACAAAATTTTTATGTTTTGTTTTAATTGCATTTCTTTCAATCAAGCGCGGCAATAAATAAAAATGGGGTGACAAACGAGCGCACAGTCCACCCCATGATGGTAAGTGGATGTTGTGGTCCATTGACATCTACATCTATCCTCGATTATGAATCAAAATGTAGATACAATATCGCCCCTTTGTATTAAGATAGAATGCCTCATTTCCAGTAAAAAGGGTCTCCGGTTCTCTACACTATTTTACGCTGGTATTCTGTGAGAGTGTGGTCCTTCCCCGTTCGAGCCGACCTGTTTATTCTACAACGATAATACAGGGCTATTTTATCAAAGAGTAGCCAAATTTTAAACTTAAGTTCAAATATATAAATGATATACCGTTGTTGCAGTTTTTGGAAATACAAGGTTTCCACTTTTGTTTGAACTTACTTATCTTCACGCACAATCCCTGACGGGGTAGCCAGAGAGAACAGATCGCCAAGTGTCACGATCCTTACAAACCTCTTTCGCTTCTTTCAGATTCATTATCTTCTTCATGCATGTACGTCAATTGTCAAGAGTACTCGGATACCTAGACGTGCATGCATACTTTTGTTTGAAAGTATCTCAAATTGAATGTGGTTGATGGGCAACGTTTTTGCCTACCTATCGACCCTTACGTGTGCGTGCTTACGTGTGCGTGCGCATTAAAATCAGTTAAAATAATGCATTACCACGCATTTTGAATCTTTTAAGATAAACAGGACAGAATGTTTGAGATTTTTTATATTAATATTTCTTCACCATTTGCATATATTACTTATTCTGAACTTTCTCTGCAAATTTGGCCGATTATTGCAAAATAATCCCAGCTGCAGCATGGCTGTCATCATCATCATCATTACAGCCTTTCATAGGTCCACTGCTGAACACAGGCCTCCCCCAAGGAATGCCACAAAGCACGGTTCCGAGCTACCTGCATCCATCGACTTCCTGCATGCCTTACCAGGTCGTCACTCCATCTCGTGGGGGGTCGCCCCACACTTCGCCTGCCGGTACGAGGCTGCCACTCAAAAACCTTTCTTCCCCATCGGTTGTCGGTTCTTTGAGCTATATGGCCGGCCCACTGCCACTTCAGCTTACTAATCCGTTGGGCTATGTCGGTTACTTTGGTTCTACTGCGAATATACTCATTTCTAAGTTTATCACGCAGAGAAATCCCGAGCATAACCCTCTCCATAGCTCGCTGAGCGACCTTGAGCTTCCTCATACGGCCAGCAGTGAAGAACCACGTCTCAGATCCGTAAATCATCACTGGCAACACGCACTGGTTGTACAATTTCGTTTTAAGGTTTTGAGGTATGTCTAACGAGAAGACGTGTCGTAGTTTCCCGAACGCTGCACAACCGAGTTGAATCCGTCGATTGACCTCTCGGTCGAAGTTGAACTTACCTAGTCGGACTATTTGTCCCAGGTAAACATACTCGTCAACAACTTCGAGCTTAGTGCTCCCAACAACTACCGGCATAGGTGTGCCATTAAAAACGACATTAAACACGATCTTTGTTTTGTCCATGTTCATCCTAAGACCTATTCGTTGGAAACACTATTGAGGTCATTGAGCATAGTGCTTAGGTCCTCCAGCGTTTCTGCCATCAGGACTATATCGTCGGCAAATCGAAGGTGAGTGATGTACTCGCCATTGATGTTAATACCGCATCCTTTCCAGTCCAGAAGCTTGAAAACGTCTTCCAATGCAGCGGTGAAGAGTTTCGGGAATATAACATCACCCTGTCTTACACCTCTCTGCAATTGGATAGGTTTCGTACTCTGGTTCTGTACTCGGATAGCCATCGTAGCTCTACTGTACAAACACTTCAGCACTTCGATATACCGACAGTCAACTTGGCACCGCTGAAGGGACTGCAGCACCGCCCAAATTTCGACGGAATCAAAGGCTTTCTTATAGTCCACATATGCCAGACATAGTGGCAAATTGTACTCCTCGGAGTCATTGCTCATAGTATATGGTATAGGGGGGTATATTGTCATAGTTGCCATGCTTGGCGAGCGGGTTGGCAACCGCAGTTTTTTATTCTAATTTTTGCTGTTATCAGGATGATGCTGCTGCCCATCTCGTGCCTGTTTCCCTTTGTCGCCTTTTACGACACCCACGTCACTAGCATGGCTCTATCACGTGATAAATGATATAATAACATTATTCCATTTTGAAGCAGTATTTTCGCTTTCTTAGTAGTACTGCAACCTTGATTATTATTTTGTTCAATACAGCGAGGGGGAGACATCACAAGAGGGTAGAAGAAATGAGTTGACACAAACGAACGATGGCTCTATAAGATTACATCCACACTTCCAGGTATGTTTTAGTTGTAGGCGCTTTCTAATGCTTCTGGCTTACATAAATAGTGATGTGAATATGCACAAAATATACAAAATTTGTTCATTATCAAGTTCAAAAACTTTTATTTTAAACAATGCTTGTATAAAATGGTTTATTATAATACAGTGGAATCTCAATGCCTTGAATCTCAAGAGATATGCTAAAAAAATCGAATGAATGAGTTTTCGTTCAAATCGAAAACTCATTAATTTCGAATTTATAAGTAAGTATGCCTTACTTATAAATTCAGAGATGTCGCTGCTGTCAAGTTAACATGGGCTCCGTAATATTATATGTTTAAAAATATTAAATGTAAATTATTTTTGTTGTGTTTTAATAATTGAAGTCATAATCAAGTAAATAAAGTCTACAAATGTTATCCAGTTAAAGTGTTAAAGTGTGAATGTTGTTAATTTAAATTTTGTATGCAAAGAACTAGAAATGAGTCGTGCTAGGAAAGTTATGTACTAGGTGCACTTAGTCCCAATTCCGTACAAATACTCGATCCAAATACCTGTTCCACCTAGTCCATGAAGTACGAATAATGTTTGGTATTGTTGGAATAGCTAACACTTTAAAGTATGCTTAGTCTTTACCTACAGCCGATACGAGAAGGTAATGAATAGTAATCAATCATCCATGCATACTTTACGCAGCCTTAGGACTGTCAACGTTGAGATTTGTCTACGTTCCAGATTGTTGGCGTATTTTAAAGATTTTAATTCATTTTTATTTAAGAGTAATCCGATTTTTGTCTTTTTTTTTATTTTTATAATTTTTGTTTCGTTTTTATAGTTCCCTATCTATAATTATTTTTAAACAATAAACACTTTAATGTCTAAAGTGAAAGTTCTTTAACCACATAACAAAACTTCGTTACGAAAACCTATTGCTAAATGAGTCGAGTAGGTATCATTCAATACGGTGCCGAGATCACATTCGCATGAGTCCGTACTAGACACTCGACTGCATCTGAAGTCTCCGTTCGCATCGAATATTTACCTAGTACCTAGTCTATAAAATCTGTCTAGTATTTGGTTGAAGTCCCCGGGACTAGTCCCGACTAGTCTCCAGTATTAACTGACAAAGATAGAAACACTGCGGAATACTGTAATTAAAAAAGGACAATATATTCTTGCACAACACGACTGCGCGTCGTGTTACTTTTATACACATTGAAATATAGTTCAATTTCAAATGACTGACACACAAATGATTCAGGCAAACACGAGTGATCGGCAAAGTAGACTAGTAACTATGGCAACAAAATGCTATCTCGCTTTGCCTTTACTTCTGCTTCTTCGATTCGAGAGGGCTGCCACAGTGATAATAGATGGATCAAGTATCTTTAAAAGTTGGAACAGGTGCAACCTAGTCTCGCTTAAAAGCTAGTGCCTAGATCTGTTCTAGTATATACGCTTCATCTCTACAGGGCCATCAGTTAGACTTTGTTGCGGGACGGAATGGATATGGTTTTACGTTATGAGAAGTTACGTTAGCTAGCTGTGTTGCGTTTGGATTTACTTCGATTGAGCGTTATTGTAATAATTTAAAATTAAAAATTTTGTACAACCGATTTCAATATAAATTATTAAAAATTACTCAAAAACTATTGGTCAGACCTTGATCAAATTTATATGGGACCATATGAGAGGCACCAGCTTTCAAATAAAAAAAGAATTATCAATCAGAAGTTATGAGGTAACACACATAAAAAAAAACATACAGTCAAATTGAGTACCGGCTCCTTTTTGAAGTCGGTAGAAAACCGTTGTCTTTGTGCACCATATCGATACGATATGTCCTGTTTTGTAATAGGACTGAGGCGTATATATATCGTAACAGATAAAAAAAACAGTCATCTTAAAATAGCAGACTGTAACTGTGACAGACATACCGAAAGAACAGCCCCTGTTTCATGAGATAACAAATCCACTAAATGAAAGTTGTTTTTCTTTATTTATACATATTATGACATTTACCTTATTTAGAATATAATAAAAAATATCACTGTGACACTTTGTGTTGCTCGTGACAAGCTGTTTCCTTTTCTCGGATAGGTTCAACACCTTAGTTAGGAAGAGAAGTCTCTATTAAGACTACTAACAACCTGCTATTTTGTAACAGGTTTATGCATGAAGCAAATATAAAGAGGAGACGTTGTAATTAAATTTCACTATGTAACAACGCGTGACAATTTGCGGGGTGAGGGGATGCAAAGCCCCGCCCACTACACTATCTACATCTACCGATAAATAGTAAAACTACTCGAATCTTTCCATATCGATGTTGCAATGTAGCTTAGCTACCTTGACGGTAGATGGCGGCATGTCCACAAAATGTTATAAAACTTTAAAAATAACACTTTGGCGATTAAAATTTCTTTATGTCTGAATGCAAAACAAATTTCAGCACCTTCGTATGATTATTTTATCATTACTGAGCTCTACGTACCTTTATATTTTTAGTTCACAGGACACAAAGTGTCGCCATCTAGTGTGGAATATATTTAATTATATTTGAAAGCCGACGCAAAGAGATTTTTCTAGAACTATTTTAATAAATTAGGTGTAAAAATATATTATATGTATGAGTACGATATACGTTTTTATATATCGTACTCATGCTTAGGCGTGAGTGTTTTGTGTTAATATGTTATGTTTTAAAATAAAATGTGTATATATTTATTGTACAATGTGAGTGTTATAATGCAGGTGGTGTGCGGTGGAGAGTTGCGTGCGCTGTTACTGCGTGCGCCCGCCTTGCCGCACGCCGCCCACGCCGCCCACTCGCCGCCCGCCAAAGTGCACACGCAGGTCATTACAACTATCTTTTTCTAATCTCCCTTCATCTCCTTCATTGCTCACCGTATGAGGAAGTTCAAGCTCGTTCAGCGAGTCACGCAGAGTGCTATAGTCAGACTTTCTCTGCGTGCTACACTTAGAATTGAGGACATCTACAGCAGAACGTTATATTACAGCAGAATATTATATTTATACGTGGTAGAGCCATGCTGCAGCTATATTAATAGTATACAGTGGATTTCGGGTATAACGAAGACCACTCTATTTTCGTTGCTATATCCGGAAGTCGTTACAGGCAAAGGTAACAAATTCAATATAAACAGTTGGTATTCTGTGAGAGTGTGGTCCTTTCCCGATCGGGCCGTCCCATTCGTGCAACAACCACAATATAGCTGCGGAATGGCTTTATCACGTTTTTATTTACGTGATAGAGCGAAGATTGTGTACAAAAGGAAAATATAATTCATTAAATTATATATTTAATTTTACAGGTTGACTATATCCACTGTTTGGTGCCAGATCTACAGGAGATAACGGCCTGCTCCTTTTACTGGGGCAAGATGGACCGGTACGAGGCCGAACGGTTGCTGGACAACAAGCCTGAAGGTATTTGCCCATATTATGGAGACATTTGATAAGATCCAGAGAAATCTTTTGTACGCTGTACAAATACTGATCAATGGTAGATTTGGGTTTATGGCCACTGCCAAGCAGCGTTATTTTATGGATAAATAGTATATAATATAATAAAATAGTCATTTAAACTTTACCACCAAGGTTTGGAATAAACCTCTGTCCTGGGAAGAACCTGAAATCCACTCGAAGTTTTTAAACATAACTTATGTTTATAATACTTGCAAAGCTTCTTAGTCTTCAGTTAGAGAAATTTCATTTTATTGATTCGTTATCGATGATAGATTTAGATGTCTGTGGGTCACAACAACCACATACCATCAGGTGAACTGTGTGCTCGCTTGTCACCGTTATCTTATAAAAAAGGGCTTGTAGTATTGCATGAGGTTGAGACGTGAGTGTAGCAGCCGGCGGTGACGTTGCAGGCACGTTCCTGCTGCGGGACTCTGCGCAGGAGGAGCACCTGTTCTCGGTGTCGTTCCGCAAGTACGGGCGCTCGCTGCACGCGCGCATCGAGCACTACCAGCACCGCTTCAGCTTCGACTCGCACGACCCCGCCGTCTTCGCCGCGCCCACCGTCACCAGCCTCATCGAGCACTACAAGGTGAGGAACACTGTCTGATGCTCCACTGCCGGGAGAATGTGTCCATCATCTCAAAAGAAAAAAAAAACAAAAAGAAATTGAAACTGTAATGGGTAATGGTTAAAATTTATATTTCACTTTAATATTACATTTTACTTTAACTTAACTTTAGTTCTACACACCAAAGTATGTCATGATGTTCGCTTGTTGTCGATGAGTTACTTAACTGTGTAAACTTTATTGTTAATTGTAAGATGTAAGATTAATGTGTGTTATGTATTAAACTAAAATTATGTATGTTTCCCTTGAAAATAAAATAAATAATAAATAAATAAATAAAAAATCATCCGTGGTAGGACCACACTCACAAAACAAAAGATCTAATATTAATGTTGCTTATTACCAAGGTCAGATGTAACAACACATATACAACTGCTGTAAAGCTCGCTCGTTTTTTAGGGTTCCGTACCGAAAGAGTAACAAATGAGACCCTATTACTAAGCCCTCGCTGTCTGTCCGTCCGTCTGTCCATCTGTCTGCTGTCAGTCAGTGGACTATATCTCATGATCCGTAATAGGTAGACCGTTGAATGATCCGTATTAGGTAACAAAAATTAAATTATTAAATTAATTTTATTGAAACAACTTGTTTTTAATAATTAACAATTTTTAATCAAATTTTTTTTTTGTATGGAACCACATGAGAAGCACCAGCTTTTAAATAAAAAAAGAATCAACAAAATCGGTTCCCCTAAAAAAAATTTCTGATTACACACACACAAAAAAATACAGTCGATTCGAGTACCACCTCCTTTTTTTGAATTTGGTTAAAAACACTCACTAATTGTCGATTCATTCAGCCATCCATTATACATCTTATAAAAGTCCCACTCACTGTACAATACGCACAGGTAACGTCTGGCACTGCTCTAGTTGCTGAAATAGTCAATTTGTCTAAATCTTAAGGAAAATCCATTTTTATTTTCTCAGGACCCGGCCTGTGTGATGTTCTTCGAGCCCATGCTGACGGCGCCGCTGCCCCGGACGGAACCTTTCTCCTTGCAGCAGCTCGCCCGTGCCGTCATTGTTTCGCACACCAGTTACGATGGTGAGTGCCAGTGAAGTTCATAATGGAAAGATGTTTGAGGTTTCTTACGTTTACGCGAACACTACACATATAAATTTGACGGTTCCGTGGCGCAGTGGCTTCGCAATGAGTTGCAGCGCTGGGGCCGCAGGTTTGAATCCCGCACGGAACAAGTATCTGTATGGCCTACAAATAATTGTTCCGGGTATGGATGTTTGTCCTTGTGCAATTTATGTTTGTAAAGTGCCCCCACGATACAGGAGAAAATCCTAGTGTGGTGGTAGCGTATTTTTAAACAAAAGAAAAAAAACAAGAAATGAAACTAGTTCTTATGGATTTTATCGCATACAGGGTATTTTTGGAACGCTCCCGAAAACTAAGACAGACGACAGTACGAAGTACACCTTTGATGATGGGTGGAATATAAAATCGATCCTGATGAATGAAAAATCATTTTTTCACAACGTTTTGTTAGCTTTATTCATTCTCTATCATGTTAGTACACCTAAATGAAACGATAATTTCATTAAAAAAAAATCATGATAATACTGAAACATAAAACCAGCAGTGGAATTACTGAATTCATATCACCTCGGTACCACCAACATTCGGTCAGACAGTTTGGTCGTTTTCAGGGTTCCGTACCCGAAGGGTAGCCAACGGGAACCTATTACTAAGCCTCCGCTGTCGGTCCGTCCGTCCGTCCGACCGTGTTTGTCAGCGGACTTTAGACAGTTGAAATTTTCAAAGAATGTGTATTTCTGTTGCCGCTATAATAACAAATAATAAAAACAAAAATTAAATTGGGCTCAAACAGGTGTGGAACAACTACCTCTGCCCGCTCGTCTCCGGGCGTTCCTCAAGGAGTATCACTACAGGCAGAGGGTTCGTGTGCGACGGCTGGAGCCAGATCTGTATGTGCCACATCACTGCTAGCGTAACATCTGTGAGAAGGCAGTTTTAACAACCCCTCCCCCACTAAACGAACATCAAGCAAGCAAGCAAGACAAGATTTCCCGAAGAGATTCAATGGTGTACTCATTTAAAACAATCCTCGCTAACTTTGATCTCAAGTTACACACTTAAATTATTGCAACTATATTGAGACCAGCGGAAATAGATAAAAAAATATAAAGAAACTACTAATTTCGACGTTTGATAAGAAACGTTTTGGCTTTTGGTCAAAACTTCGACTTTCCATTAGTGCTTACATTCTCTATCCGGTTTTGCTGGTCTTGTCTTTGTTTAATTCTATCATCGTCGTACCTTCAATTTGGTCAAGAAAATATGATCAGTACTAAATTTAATAACTAATATATATCTATTTTAATTATACTATAGAAAGTCTGAATATGTTACAATAATTAAAAAAATTGTATGATGCTACTGCACAAGATGGTCATGTCTTTATGGTTTAGTCTGGGGAGTGAGTGTCGATATAATGAGATTAATGTTGCCCGTAGAAAAATACAACATAAAATAATAACCTTATGGTTCCCGTTAAGTGCATTATCAGAATCAGTATTCAAACTTATAGAAATAACTTTACTTCAGAAAAATCTACCATAATATTAAATTAAATGTAGAAGTATTTTTAATAACATTCAAAATTTATTCTATTATAGCATTGATATATCTATATCTATACAAATAAATAAAATTGAAGTGTCTGTTTGTAATGTCAAAATTACAGTTTTTTACTAAATGCATATGAAAGTAAATACGATACCTATAACTAAAATACAATTTTTAAAATTTGTCTGTCTGTTTGTTCCGGGTAATCTCCGAAACGGTTGGACCGATTTTGACGGGACTTTCACCGGCAGATAGCTGATTTCATAAGGAGTAACTTAGGCTACTTTTATTTTAGAAAAATAATCAGGGTTCCGCGCAGTAACATAAAATCCCTAACACGCGAACGAAGTCGCGGGGAACAGCTAGTATATTATAAAAAAGAAAATAACTTACACAAAAAACTTAAATTATCATATAGTGCTACACCCCAAACACTGACTGGGTTTCCTCGCTGAACGGCTATACTTAGACTTTGAGAGAGAAAGGAACCAGCAAATTTAAATAAATCTTTATTTGCGTATTGTATGTGGTTTTTATCACCTCCGCATTGACCAGGGAGTAAGAGGATATACAATTTGCAAATAAAAAGTCATGCACTGGTTGATATGAGGTAGTGGTTATTTATACACCGCAAGAAATATATTAAAAAAAAATATGGTCGAGTATTCTGAAATAAAGTTAGTACTAGACGTTTGTATACTGATAACACTTAACGGGAACCACAGGGTTTTTGCTACATGTTGTATAGTTGGATATGTGAGGTGGGGTTTCAAAAATGGGGGTCGGGTTTGATACTTTAGGCGTAACTTGTACATATTAAGTGCTAACAAACTATTGGGTTAAGAATTTGGGATTACGTCCCACAGCTGGAGAGTAACGTAGTATTCAGATTAAAGCCCCGGATACACTGGGGGACAGTTCGTCGCTCAACAGGACGCGGAAAACTCAATCCACGTGATGCTGCAACGTAGCGCAGTGTCGCGCAACTTGGCGCGCAACACTTCGCGTGACACGGCATGTGTTGCTTGCTCCCGCTCCGGCGTCATGTCGCCAGGTAGGCTTGGGGAAAAAATATCGATATTTCATTATTAATATTTTAAATCGCGATATATTGATATTTATTTTAGAGTATCAAATTCGTATCAATTTCGATATATTTTAAAATGTATTAATGACAAAATTTGTAACAACAAATGAAAGTACAAAAGTATTCATGTGTGGTTGGTTGTGGTTTTTTTCCGTCAATATCATAAAATTTTGGACCTTATCTTTACATAATGCAAATGATGACGATTTATCGATATTTATCACGCGATATATATCGATACTGTTTAAAAATATCGATTCGAAATATATCGATATATTTTTTCCCTTGTGCATCCCTATCGCCAGGGGTATGAAAGTCCTCAGTAGCTTGCTCTTACGTTGATACTAGCGCCATCTCATAGTCATTAAAAGTACTATTTTCCTCAATATTTTTTACATATTTTATTAAAAAGATGGCGCTACTGCTGGTATTTATTATTTATACCGAAGCCTAAATCATGCTATTGAAGTTTTGAAATACAGCGGTATATGTATAGAATAATTCTATGTGAACAAACAGAGCTTTTCATACCCTGGTCATATAAAACTAACCATATGAAGAGTTATTTAAAACAAATTAGTAATTAAATACATTTCCTTTTTATTTTATTGAAATATGTACGAAATAATACTGAACCTAGTCGATAGCGCCCTCTAGTGTAATTTTCAGTAATTTATAATCCGAACGCCATCTATAAAATAGCGCAAGAGAAACTTACCTCGTTTCGTCACCTAATAATATGTCAGATTGGCTCATCTATGAGTGTTGCGCCATTTGTTACCGGGTGTAGTCGTGTGCGCAACTTGCCTTGCAACATTGCACTAGTGTGAAAAAACGACACCTGGGCTTTACCAGTCATGTTTTGTCGTAGGAGACTTCAAACCACAACACTTCTGGTACTGTTCTGCCGATCAGTTGTACGACAAGGAAGCATGAGAATCTCCAGTCGACAAGTATGTTAATGCAATGGCAAGTCTGATATGAGGGTCAACAGCGTTCCGTAGTATTATATCCTATTTGACTATGGAAGGTCCGATCTTTTGTAATAAATCTCCAGATGTTGACACATTCAAGTAAAATTGACAAAAGATCCGCCAGACATTCGGAGATCACTTGAAAATATCAATTCTTCTTTCTTTTCGTTGTAGTAAGATATTCCGCCTCCAACCACCTTCTCTTTCGCTAACGTTTCACTTCCGAAATAAGCATAACCTCCTGGAGCGACATTTCTATAAGCACTGACTAGTGTGGCCTGCTAAATGTTCCGCGACATATGTATGCGCAACACGCCGCTATTTTTGTCCCCAAGTATATCCAAGGCTTAAATATATACACTAATTTTTATTTATTAAGGATAATAATTATACGACGAAGAGAGTCTTTGGGTGTTGTCTCTATGTCCTTGTAGACATAACATTGTCGTAGAGACTGCACCGAAGGATATTATAGACTATTATATTCAAGAATTCAAATGTCTGTGCGTTTCCTTTCTTTTTTGTGTTCAACGATATGTTACTCAGATGTATTAATTATCATAAGTTAATTTTGTAGTGTACGGGTGGGTTATAGCTTGGGTTGCCATGTACCCAGAAAATCCCCAATTCATTGCTACATTTCTTTTCGTTCAGTTTTCTATAGTTTGTATTAAAATGTAGTACTTTTAAACTGATGATGCGTAATCGAATGAGGACAAATATCTTTCGCTCACCAGATGTCGCTAGTTGGGGATTGAGGTGAAATTATTTGTTATGCACGTTTTTTCAGACGTTTATAAATATATTTTTGTTTCTAGTGTATGTATATACAAAACACAATGAATCAGTGCTGTGTTCTTTACTTTTTTACATATTCTAGATGGTGAGGATGGTATCGTGAATTTTGACGCGATGTGCGTTCGTGAAATTTGGCGGTAAAAATATTAATTAGCTTAAAAATAAATAAACCAAACCACACCTAATTTACCATGTGCTCTGTGGTGAAGGAAAACATCGTCAGGAAACCTGCATGTCTAAGAAATAGATATTCATAAAAGTAGAAAAATACATTAAAAAAAATTGTTAAAAATGTGCAAAAAAATTAAATATCAAACCACTGACGCATTGTTTTGTGTATTAATATATTACTCTACAAACTGATAAACTTTTAATTGAATCCACCAAAAATAAAACTTATTGTTTCTTTCTGTACCGTTAACTATATTTTATATTAATTAGATTAAAGATAAATAAACAAAACCAGATATTCATAAAACTAGAAAAATTAAAAAAAAGTTAAAAATGTGCAAAAAATTAAAGAGCAAACCACTGAGGCATTGTTTTGTTTATTAATATAATACTCTAGAAACTGATAAACTTTTAATTGAATCCACCAAAAATAAAACTTTTTGTTTCTTTCTGTACCGTTAACTATATTTTATATTAATTAGATTAAAGATAAATAAACAAAACCAGATATTCATAAAACTATAAAAATTAAAAAAAAGTTAAAAATGTGCAAAAAATTAAAGAGCAAACCACTGAGGCATTGTTTTGTTTATTAATATAATACTCTAGAATCTGATAAACTTATTTTAAAACAACTTCTCAATTAAATGAAATTGTGTAACAAAACAAATTTACCACAGTTGTCAACTAGCGACATCTGGTAAGCGAAAGATTATTAGCGTTCATTCTCACACAGGCAAAAGTAGTAGAAGTACATTTAGCTGACGAATGAGCTAAATGTACTTCTAACTTCTAGCGTGTGTTCTTTCTGGCAACCCTAGCTTGTACCCGTTACGAGATTCCGCCTATCCCGCAGGACTGTGGGAGAGTTATGGTTGGACGTACTCACTGTGTATCAGACATCACAAAATAACATAATTTCTATGTAAAGAGGTTATTTATTATTGCAAGTACAATAATTATGTTATGTATTTAAATTAATTATTTTTATTGTGAATTTCGTATTAATCAAATACCGTTGGACAGTGTTCGTGGACGTTTTAATGCAATAATGTGCGCAGTATTATACAGGAGTCCCGGCGATGTTTAGTTTCACGCGATAAAAGGAACAAAATGATTTAATAAGAAAGAATTAAAATTTTAAATGATACAAAACAAAAAATGTTCATTACTCGAGTTAAGTAAAAAATAAAATTTTCTGCAATTGTCAATGGCTGTAGTAAAAATTGATAAATATTTCATAGGTCAGATAGTTAGCGATCGTTGTAAATTTCACAGTACGCGAGCAAACCGGATTCGATCCCCGCCGGCACCAATGAAATTGACAATTG